GGAATGATGGGGGCCTTTTGATGTACAATACTATACTATATTTTAAAGAATTCGGCGCCACTGTTTTGTTTTATTTTACAAATCAGTATTTCATTATGAGCTACATAGTAAATAAATAAATTTTAGGTCATATCTTTTTATTGATTATTGATAGGTTTTTAAGTTAAGTAAAAATATATATACTCTGTCCAGGATAAGAATGCCTAAGTTTGCAGATGAATAATTCTTCTAYACTTTATTCCACGAAAGAACAAGCCAGTTCTTCACATGTAGAATAAGGTCCATCCACCTACTAGACCATTAAATCCTTTCCATGACGTGTTAAATGTCACTGATCATAGTGCACAATACAAATTTAATCAGCTGCTGTTGATGTTGACTGGCACCACTATATTCACGCATTTGTTGGGGGGATACACAGAGCAGATCTATTCTCGTATTTGCACAGCATATTGTCTTGTAATTTGTGCAACAAAGTATAACTGAGCCAATGACAGTTATCTTAGGTATGGTGAYCAAATATTTTGTAATATATACTAGCATTAAMATGATCAATATCCATGTGCAAATTAAGACATTCTAATCCTGAATAGAGCACAGGAAACATTTTCAGATAATGATTGAAAAATTGAATGAAACACACTAATCATTTAAAAAATTAAAACTATAAAAAGGTTATAATAATCTTTAACCTATTTTGTATCAAATTATTAATATTTTTGATTACCATTAATGAACTGGGAATTTTTTTCAGATGTTTTGGTGTTTTGMATTACTTTTATATATCTCAAAAAATGTATATTGTCATAGTATGCAAATTGTCCTTTAGATACTAAGTCTATAGCTTCGTCGACTTCATAAACTTCTTGAAACTTTTGACCAACTCTTTGTCCAGTTTTATCTAGTGAAGTCATGAAAAATTCTTTTGATTGTTCTCCCCATCCTCCACAGTTAATGTTACTATCAGCAAGAGCTTCCAATGTATCAATTGTAACCCTGTTTGATTTATTATTTTTAAACTTATTATTAAGTAATAATTAGTAGGTTGCATATCTAAGTTTATTAAGGGGTGTGTCACCAACATAATATATATAAACTAAAATATGGTTAAGGGTTAAGGTTATAAAAAGAATAATCAAAACATTCATATATATGTATTGTATGGAAAAAGCTCCCTTTGTATAGTTGTATATGCCACTTATAATAAATATTAATGAGTATCATCAAAATGATTGTATTACCTTGTATCTGGATTAGCTAGGATCGCTGTCATACTAGCTTTGTAAGCAACTACAACTAATAAACAGTACATCCACCACCACCCTGTTAAAATTCTTATAGCCCATCCACTGGGTACTTTTGGCAATGATACAGCTACTAACATCCCATAAGTATATAAAATACTATTCCCTATGTCCTCAAACAAATATAATCCTATTACATCTTTGTTAGTGARTTGATTACATTTTTTATTTTGTGTTTGGTTATTTATACATTTTTGATGTTYGTTTTTTTTTGATTTTTCAAATTTATTTTTTAAAATATCTATAATACTTTTTTCATTTGCTTTATTATCTGTYAATARTCCAGGTTTTTTTTCTAATATTTTCATCTTGCCAGTATCACATTGTATYATTTTAATTGAGTTTTCATTATCTTCAATATGTTTATGAGCTGTTGCAAGGGCATAAAACAAAAAACCTCCAATAAGAAGTGTTATAAGTACGCCAACCCACATATTTAATCTAAAAGGAATTATATTTAAATATTAATTTATTAACATAATTTATTAAGTATATCACTTGAAAGGAAGAATCAATGTTTTCCAAGAGTTGTCAGTTTTTGATTCAAATGTTAAGAATGTTAGACATTCTGTGTTGTAAGGAATGGATAGATCTAAAATATTTAGATGATACGGTGTGTAATGTAAATTGCCCAGTGCCAAATCAGCACGAGCCGACCATACTTCTCCTAACAATCCTGATATAGTTCCATTTATTTGCTTTTTACCCCATTGTTCAGTTCGCCAATTTATTGGTTCATAAATTATTGGAATAAAATTCATTGCACTTCCAAGTGATTTAAGAACCTAAAACAACAAAACTAAAAATATTATTTTAGAATTGATACATTTTTWAAATTATACCTCAATTTCTAAACCCTTTGTATAACCAGAATTTTCTTCGTTTTCATTTAATAATGATTTTTTTATTGCTGATGGAATATAATTAAAAGTAACTACTTTAAGTGAATTTCCTTGTAGATCTGAAACTTTGTCAATGAATAAATTTGTTTTTTTTTGAAAATTTCTTTTATTCCATATGTCTAGTCTCAGTGTAACCAATGCYCCTTTGATTGGAGCAGGAAATGGAACAGTGGATAATTCATACATTTCTTTAAAACGGTATTTTCTAATAAACACAACATTTATAATTTTTGTCCATATAGTATGATGTTGCTTTATAAAAAGTCTTCGATCGTGTAATAATATAAATTTTGTTCTAGAATCCAGCATTCTATGCCTGAAAATTGTGTTGTGCTAGTATATTTTTCATCTAATTGTTGTATTTACATTTTATATTATTRGTAAAATATACAGTTGTTTTAGGTATAATTTAATTGTATTTCAATCCACCAAAATACATGGCATTATTAAAGTATTTATTTTGTATACAATGTCCTGGGAAATTGATTTTTTTTTTTATTCTTTTTATCTTAAATTTAAGTTTTTTGAATGATCACAGGTCATAATTTACATTTTGTTATGATTTATCATATTATTATTAATTTTTTTTTTTTTGTTAAGTATAGGTACTCATTTATTAGTATGAAATTTTTTATTAAAAAATAGTTTCTTTTGGCGTTCAATTATTATTTATATAAAAAAGTATTGCTGTCTAATGTACTAATTATATCAAAAACATTTGTTAAAACAATGAATCAACGCATATACTCTGTGTCTAGTGAGTTTTAGATATCCTGACATCCTGTTATACAATAAACAAATTATATTGATATTATAATATTTTTAGTTACTTACCTATTTTTTCTAATAGGAACCTACTACACTATAATCTGTAAAATACTTATTTCCTACTTGTAATATTAATGTATAGTTATATAAATTAAATTTTTAAATTATCATTAAATAATTTACTTATCGCTAAATTTTAGTAATCTCATTGTTTGGTCAGCATTTAGGATAAATATTATATTCATGTTGCATCCTTCTTTTCTAACATGATTTAAAATTTGCCAAGTTTGAAAATTTGGWGACATTAAATCCTCTGAATCATCAACTAATGTCTGTAAATTATTTTCAAAAACTGATAACTTAAATAAAAWTGTAAAAAAAAATATTTTGTTTTTGTATTACTTTGAATAATGGTATTCCAGAAACTGCTCTATAAAATGCTTCATCTAATATACCATCATGAAATTTGTCCAGTATTAAATTCAAGCAGGTAGCGGTGTCTTTCCATTTATGTGTTATATCTACAGCTAAATTTTCAAATTCAGAACTCCGTTGTATCTTTTCATAAGAACTTTGAAACAATTATAAATTTAAATTGATTTAATATTTGTTGTATAATTAAAAAGGGTAAATAGTTGAATTGCACTTATTTCAGTCGAATTGCATTTTGATTAAAAAAAAAGGTAATGATTGAACTGTACTTGAGTTCAAAAAGCTTCATTTTATTTTCCTTCCCACTAACAGACTTAAACCTAAAAATGATTTTAATCATTGGCTTAGTTAAAAACTAGTTTTTGTAAGTATATAATTACGTTAATATAATAATATACATATTGTGTAATAAATTTGAAATGTTTTTTTTGTTGAATAATATTATTTACAAAAAATAATCTTAGGTATAATATATAATATTAAATTAAAAAGTTTAAAAAT